TCAATGGTAGTATACATGAGGCCCTAGGTTTAATGCTCAGCACTGAAAATAATAATAATAATTACATTTATTCAAATATGATAGTTTTGACCAAAATATCCCCTTTGGAAACCTTATCAAAACTTGGTTGAGCCAGGCACTAATGGCCTGCTCCTGTAATCCTAGCTACTCAAAAGGCAGAGATCAGGAGGATCATAATTTGAAGCCAGCCCAGGCAAATATCAAAAAATTCCATCACAAAAAGGGACTGGCAGAGTGGCTCAAGGTGTAGACCCTGAGTTTAATTCCCAGTAATGAAAAAACAAAACAAAACTTGTTCAAGTCAGCTGGTACTCTCAGTTGGGAGCCAGCTCAAGCAAATAGTTCTGAAGACCCTGTCTTGAAAATACAGGGCTGGTGGAGTGATAGAGTATCTCCTAGCAGGCATGAGGCCCTGAGTTCAAATCCCATTATTACAAAAAATTTTTTTGGTCAAGCTGAATTTGGATCTGAATGACCATCCAAACTGATTTTTCTGTAGTGGTAATTGAGAGAGAAGGTTTTAAGAGAGACCCTTCACTATTCACTCTCTCTGGGGAGGAGGGAGGAGTTCCTTAGCTCTCCTTCAGGCACTAAGTACACGCCTCACCACTGGACTGACAGTGGAGAGGGACATGGCAGGCAGGGTGGGGAGAGTTGTGACAGGCAGAGCAGGGCTGGAGAGGTCAATGGGGGATGGAGGATCTAGGCAGCAGCCACAGCAGGCAGAGGGGACACCTTCTGCAAGAGAGGACATGCCTTTGACTGACAGCACATTTCAGGACACTATGCAGTGGGGCCCATGAGTACTTGTCAGAGACCTGCAGGAATGGGGGAAAGGGGAATTCAGTAGGCTGTTTAGGGAAACTCAGAATTTGTGCCTATGTTCTGTTGCCCAGTAACTGGATTAAAATCTGCTATACCATGTCAAGGAAGTTCAGTGACTTTTTTATATGAAATGTCCCACTTTTTTGTGTGTGTGATTTGTTTGTTTGCAGTACTAGGCTTTGAACTCAGGGCTTCTCCCTTGCAAGATAGGCATTCTACCATTTAAGCCATGTCTCCAGCCCTGGACCATTGTTGTTTAAACAAGAGTAAACATGGTCAAACATAGGAGAAGGTGGCAGAGAAACTTGGCTTAGGACACTTCTGAATACTTAATATGTATTGATGCCTGGTACCTGGCACGTAGTAGCACTGCATTCAGTGTTGTGCTTATTGAAAAGATTCCTCTCCCTACTCATTTAAGTAATGATGGTGCCATGGGTGTTAGTGGGAAGGTACAAATTCAAATTTGTTAAAATGGTCCCACCAGAAATGTGGGAAGCAGGATATTACCTAATAGCAAGAGTCACTTAAGAGCATATGACTCCAGCCATAATAAACATTTAATACATTATTTGTGAAGACTAACAGATCTGCTTTTGGCATATGTTAATACAGAGTACATTAGAAACATTTAATTCCTCCATAGAGAAACTGAAGACCAGAGAGGGCAGGGACTTGCCCAGGCATAAATTAACTTTTTTTTTTTAATGACTTGGGGTTATCACGATTGCAAGTAATTCCTCAATCTAATGGTACTTTGCTTTCACCAAAATATTAATGAGCCATTCTTCTTAAAAGAATGATTCACCAAGAGCAGGGCAGACTGACCAGCTTTCTGGGCTACATTGAAACCTTCCCAATTCAACCACAGCCAATTTACATGTCTATGCTAGAGACCATTCACAGGTGGTCCTGACCTAAGAGAAGCCCTTGCCCCAATCAGGACAGAATAAGTGAGTGCAGTTGCCTGCCTCCACTAGGGGATCCACTGCATACCTGGGAATCACTCCTCTTCCCCTTCTTCAGAGCCAACTGGAAAACCTCAGTCTACAGAGGATAGAACCACCCTAGAGAAGAAAAAAAGGAGCTAATTTGGAGCACTAGCACCTGAATCCCATCCCTTTCTGACTCCCACCTTGGCAGTCATTTTCTTGAATTCAAAGTTGGATGGGAAGATTAAAGATGGGAGACCTTTCCTTCCGGAAATGCATTGTCTGTTTATTCTACTGTGGTAACACCAAAGATGGTGAGTTTGTGAACTTTGGAAAGGAAAAACAGAAAGGCTAACTGTTTTCTGTAAACAGAATTCCACCTCCTCTCCAATAACCAGCCAAAGGAAATGCTGGATCTCAGGATTTCTTGGATTGTATGCTGTATCTGTGCAACCCACCCACCTACAGTGGCTGTCATGACCACCACAATCTCTTACATACTCCTAGCAGCTGGAAATGCATGAATCTAGACAGGTAGATTGAGCCTTTGGGCAGACCCTCCTAGCTTTCCCATTCATTTTGCCAGGAGGAATCAAGACTGATGTAGACTCAGGCAGCAGCTGAGATTCCCTGGTGTGGGTTGGGAGGTAGTGGGTCAAAAGTTTTTAAGCACGGGAGGAAAGCAGAGAGCAAGGTGCCACTAGTGATCTAGCATTACTTCTCAAACTTTATTGTGTCTATAAATCACTTAGGGACTTACTAAGCTGCAGATTCAGAGTCAGTAGGTCTGGAGTGGGGCCTAAGATTCTACATTTCTAACTAGCTCACAGGTAATGCAGATGCTGCTGGCTGTGGAGCAGCCAAACCCAGAAAACTGGAGTCTCAGAGGTCCCTGAGTTTACAGGCCAGAATCCCAGAATGGGGCTTCTCTGCAACAGAGCAGATCCTGTATATTTTGGCATTGATAAAGGGTGCTCTCCTTTTGACCAAAGAAAGCTGGAAGGTGGGCAATGAGAGATCCTTCTGGTACCCTTGATCTTTGTAGTAACTTACTATAGCTGCAAGAGCATTTTTAATTAGACCAAATTATCTAGTTTGGCTGTCTGTAGAAATCAAAGTCCCAGCTGATATGTCTCTTTCATTTTTCTAGTATAGAGATGGCTTATGTGCTGTGATTTTTAAGATGTTAAACACTGCCTGTGGGTATATTTTATGGAGAAATAAACACACAGCCCAATGAGATGTATAGAGTGGTTTTAATATATTGTATATCACTTATTTATGGGGAAAATAAACACACAAGCCAATAAGCTGTGTATTATTACTTTAATATATTGAATTTATTTCATACCTGTATATTTTATGAGGGAAAATAAACTAATAAGATACACGATATTATTATAATAACACACCTAATTGTTCTATATTAATTTATTTATGAGAGAAATAAGTGCAATTTAACATGACATAAGATTATTTAATGCACGAGACGAATCTGTATTAAGACAGTTTAAGGGATTAAATTCCAGCTGAATAAAATGTGTGTACTTCCCACACTGAGGGACCGGTTGAAAAAGTACACAGTGGGCCTTTCTGGTCCTACATGTCACGACCTACGTTGGCTTCTGGCCTGTCCTGGCAATTGCTGTGCCTCCGTGCCTGGTGCTCCAAGATAGGTTCCTGTTGGTCCCAGGAAAGTCTGGGAGGCCAAAGGGATGGGGAAAAAAAAGCCCTGCTTTTAGAGAAACTAGCATCTGCCTGGGAGGTGGCCCTGTGGTGTCTGTTTCTGAGTGGGAGAAATATTAAATAAACCTGAGGAGAATAAATGGCTTTCCAGGGCCCTTTAAATCTCCACGTTCCCAAGAACAAACCAGGAGGCAGACGGAGATCGATCCTGGGTTCCCGCTTACCGGGTTTACAAGGAGCTGGGAAGGGTGCGGTGGGGGGTGGGGGTGGGGGTGGGGGTGGTGTTGAGATGGAGAATGAAGTTGTTGGCCAAGACTGGAAGGTCTGCATTTGGAGAAATCTCTATCCAGGCTTCAAATCCCAGTTCCAAGGATCAAAAGTCACAGTGGGCGAGGCAATCCCCATCCCCAGAACCCGCTCGCCCCCTCCCCTCCCCACACCCACGCAGACCTTCCTTCCATCTCTCGACTTCAGCATCCGTTGGGGTCATTTCAGGAGAGAGGAAAGAAAAAAAAAAAAAAGATAGAGGAAGGCTCCCAGGCGCTTTTTCTTCCCTCAGGTCTGGAAGATCCCAAGGGGAGAAAGTGCCAGCGGGGGCGGAACCGGGGCTAGTCCCTGGCATCCAGCAGCAACTATCATGGCTGCCACAATCTCGTCCCTCGCCCTCCCTGCTGCCGGGCCCCAGCGCCATTTTGAACATCTTCCTTGTCACCCTCTTGCTCTCCTTTCTTCCGAGCAAGCGGAACGCCTCCCGACGCTTCTCCGGCCTCCCCGAGCGTGTCACCTCGCTGCTTCTCTGATGCTCTCCCAATTCCAGGAGCGCCAGGGTGACAACAGGGACCAAGGAATATCGGTGATCAGCCGCGCCACATTTCTCAGCCGCCCTCTTTTTTCGCACACTTGGAAGCCAAGTTACCTTTCCTGGGCACTGGGCCCTGCTCCCCAAGAACCCTCTCAACCCAGACTCCATTCCTTAGCCACCCACAGCCTCCTGGAGGTTGCCTCCGGCGCTTGCCCCAGGCCTCGCGTCGCCATCCTTCCAGGTATGGGGAAAGCCCCTCCGCCAAGCTTCGGGGGCCTTAAGGGAGAAGTCTGCAAAGCCCTACGATACAAACTTAGTTACCTCCGCGCCGCCATGGCCACGACCCCAAGACAAGCTGGCCTGTCCCCAGCTTGCACCCGCTTCTACTCTCAGCACCCTGTGTGCATCCATCCACCTTTATTTCTAAGTAGAGGCTAGGAAGCATCTGTGCAGGGCCCAAAGCTGTCTGTTGAGGGACAGAGAGGTGTCCAAGCATCCAGCAACACCCCCCCCAAAAAAAAAAACCACAAAAAACACTTCCTGGAGTCGCGGGCGGAGAAGTGGTCGTCAAGCGGAGTCATCTTTGTACCATCCGGACTTTGCCAGGCCGAGGGTGAGGGTGGCTTTACCGCCACATGGGTCGCTCAACCACACCAACCTTGCTCAGGTTCTGGATGGTCGAGGATGTCCTTGGCAACGTGGTAAAGGAGCTGGGTCTCAAACACTCGTTTTCATATTATAAAGACATTTATTTAATCTATGAAAATAATGTACAATAAATATTTCCCCATTTCCTATTATCAAAGAATTTTAATAAATAATCTAAGTCTAAAACTTAAAAAAGAAGGAAACTAGGTCCCTCTAATTCTTTTTTAAGAAAGCCCCCCCTAGAGTTTAATTATTCCTGAGATTTCGTTGGAAGGAGTCTACCAAACGGAATTTTTCTGTGATTTTAAAAAGAGAAAGAAAAAAGGGAGATGATTAAATACTAATTCAATAATACCTGAATTTTAGCAAAACACGTAAGTAAATGTGACTAGGGGTGGGGGAGGCTCAATTTTTTCCAACAGTCAGCCAAGGAGGACGGGGATGGAAGGGGTCGGGGAAGGAAGCGGGTTAGGGGAATTGCAGGTCGATGGCGCAGAGTGTGCTGGTGAAGAAGTCTAGCTCTTCCTCGGAAAAGGGTACCGGGCTATCCATCGAGCCCTGTAGGCTGGGGGAAAGGCCTCCGGACAGCTGGAGACAGGAGTCTGCCGCGAAAAAGTTGAAGTCGGGCAGGAAAGGCGAGTCCTGCCGCTCGGGGAAAGCGTCTTCTGGCAACGACTCGGGTTCCAACCCGCCGACGGAGCGCAGCGCGCAGCCGGGGCTCTGTGCGCCCGCACCCTCCAAGTGAGCAGCCAAAGGCCCTGGTCCCGGGGCGCCTGGGGGCCCCAGAGCGACCTCGGCAGGGTGAAAGCAGGCTTCCCGCGCCGCCCGAGAGGCGGAGGGGCCGCCTGGGCTGACGGCGGGCTCCTCGGCTGGGTCTCCGGTGTCCTCCAGGGCTCCTGGGCAGCCTGGCTCCACGTCAAGCGGCTCTCGGTGCTGCGTCTGCCTCTTGTGCTTCATGCGGCGGTTCTGGAACCACACTTTGACCTGCCTTTCAGTGAGGTCCAGTAGGGCCGCGATCTCCACGCGCCGCGGCCGGCATAAGTACTTATTAAAGTGGAATTCCTTCTCCAGCTCCAGCAGCTGCGTGTTGGTGTACGCCGTGCGCAGCCTGCGCGCCCCGCAGCCGCTGCCGCTCTCCGGCAGTCCCGGGCCATCTGTAGGGAAAGCAAGGCTGGGCGTCACAGCGGGCCGGGTTCTAGTTCAGCTGAGATCAACACAATTTCATCCGCCAAAAACACTGTCAGCAGTCTCCCCAACCCCCAACCTACCCCCGCAAAGAGGCTCGCTCTTACTGCTTTTCGGTTCTTTCTGCTCCCTAGGTCGCTGGCAGACTGGGCCCAGGGCAGGGCAAAGCATTCAGAGCCGCCCACGGGCCACGTAGGGGACAGGGAGCAGTTCCCTTTGGTTCCCAGAATCTTAGAGCCCCCCCCACGTCCTCCCAGTGGACCCCTCAATTCGGAACTTCCCAACTCAACCCGGGGAGAAGGTTCACAAATGTTGTTCTTCGCCTTTTTTCCTTCCTGCATCTCAAATTCCCCCCTCCTCTCCTAGGGTTTGAGAGAGGTAGGAGGATGCATCTTTTTCTGCCCCCAGATTAAATCTCAGCAACATTTATTCTCCTGCACAGACACAAATAAAAACCTCAATCGAATCCTTTTCTTCTAGCATAGAAACAGGTTTTCTCCAACCAGCTTCCAAAACCTGCTATACGAAAAAGAAAAAAAAAAAAAATGCTGGCAGCGGCCAGGCCCGAACCCCAGAGGGATATTCTGCTTCTCTATCCCGGGAATCACCTAACCCGGGAACCCCAACCGCCTTGTCACCTTTTTCCAGCCCCCCCACGGCTCTCCCGGTTTCTTCTAGCTGCCCCTCACCCCACCCCACCCCCACCACGCTTACCGACCTGCGGGCGATCCGACCCCGGAGGCCGGGACAGCGGAGGCGGCCAGGGAAGGAGACGCGGTGGATTGGCTGGGTTTCTTGGCGGATTTCTTCTCTTTCATCCAAGGGAACTCGGGGGCGAGGGGGACGGCGGGGAGAGGTGGCGGCGGCGGCAGAGCAGGCCCATCTTCGGTTCGCTTTTGGCTCCCGGGTCTCTGAAGGGTGGAGGCGCCGGGCTGGAGGCTAGGGAAGGTTTGCTCGAAAGGAGGAGGAGGAGGAATTAATGTCGACTCCTTGATTGATGAAGTTTGAAATGTCTCCAAGACAGCGGGGAAGGAAGTCAGACACTCGGCGAGCGATGGCTGGCTGTTTATAAACCCAATCTCCCTCTCAAATTCAAAATTCATGGCTTTCAATGGTGGGGGAGGGGGCCTGTTGGGGGGGCGTCAGGAGGGAGGATCGGAAGGGACCCCCCCTCCTGCCCCCCCCCCAGGTTTATACGATGGAGCGATTTTGGGAGGGGGAGATTTCTTTCTTTCTTTTTAATTTTGGGCCTTTATAATTGTATATTGCTGATAAATACAAGCGTATGGGGACTCTGTCTATTAAACCCAGGACTCTGGCAAAATTGCAGGGAATTCATGGTCACGGGATCGGCCTTGGCCAATCGCTTGTCTGGGCCTGGTGGAAAACAGAAAGCATTATTTGCTTTAATTGATTCAAAAACTCCAGAGGACCAGGACCTGGACACTATGAGCCCCCAGCCCCCCCCCTCCCATTCCTATACCAGTGCCTCCAGCTCTGTTTCCTCAATGATCCCTTTCTCCAGAAAAGCTTGAGGACTCTCCTTCTTCCCTTGGAAGAATGGGAGGCTGTGGGAGTCCAGGAAACAACCAAATCCAGAGAAATATTCATTTTTAAAAAAGATTTTAGTAGAGTACATTCATGCTTTCTTTACAAGGCAAATAACATTCTCTTCCCTTCCCTGCCCCTAACAGAGACAGTGAGATAGCAATGTGGGAAGAGGAGGGAATAGGAAAAGGCTTCCAGTCTTTGGGAAAGATCACTTAAGGTGCAAGTCCAAGGAAGGAAAGATATTACATTTACAGCACTAACACCTCCACCCCCTGAAATCAGCAGCTCAGTCTTGGGGAATGCATGCCCAGGCTAACACAAGGCAGTGAGATAGATGTGAAAGAGCACTTTGGGGCTTCTGGCCTCCCTCCATAGCTGTGTGGCCCTGGTTCCCTTCTTTGCCCAGTGTTTACAGACAGCCTCTTAAGTCCACTTGCCTTCCCTCTCGGGGGCATCTATATTCTTCTATTACTCCACCCCAAGCCCCACAACAGGAGAGTCTAAAATTCATTCCTACCCACTCAACCTTCAAGCCCTATCTGTATCTCTAGCCATAGGCATGAGCAAGAAACAAGGTACTTAGCAATCTTTTAACTCTCAAATCTCAGGTCAACACATGGGGATGGGGGGATTCTTCCCTAGGACAAAGAGACTTTCCCTGGAATATTTGCCATTGTGCTAGTTAAAAAAATAATAAATCCCTACTAAGAAAGAATTCCCTGAAGACACAGGGAGTGGAAATAATGACCACTGAAATGATATTCCATTTTTAGCCCCTGGGGAAATTTTTTAAAATTTATTTTATTATGAAGAGACCAAGATAGTCTGAACTTTTAGAGTGCTGTAATTTACTAAAGGAAGGAGGCACAAAACTCAGCCACATGCAATTGGTGGGAAACTAGGCCTCAAAGCAGAAAATGAAAAGTCGATCTGGGAGAAGATTTTTAAATAAGTGGGTCAGAGGGACTGAGGGGAGATGAGGCGATCAATCTTAGCCCCCTGACAGCTCCCTCAGATTGCATCAAAGAATTTGGCTCTTTGGGAAAGCAAGAGGGAACAGCCTAAATTCCACATCCCTTAAAAAGGCCTGAGGGAGGGGGTGGCAAAAGAGAAAGGTGATTCTGGAAGAGCCAGGAAACAGATGGGAAATGGGGACAGAGGGAAGGCGCTAAGTTGAGTGGAAAGTTTGCCGAGAACTCCCACGGCTCTGGCCTCCCCTCCCCCTCCTTGCTCTCTGCCGCTCAGCCTGCAGGAGCAGGCTGATAAGCAGAGAAATGGCAACTCAGCCGGTAGCTGGAACTAGAAACTTTCTGTCATTGTAACATCCGCGTGGGTGGTGGTGAGTATTTAAAAAGAAGGGCAGAGAAGTCTGAGTGGAAGGGTGGGGGCAGAGGGGAGACAGAGGAGCTGGAGGTTGGGGCTGAGGGACAGGCTCCAGAGGACTCAGAACAGAGAGCTGCTCTGAACTCAGCCAACTGGCCAGAGGGTGGTTTGCAACTCAGCTCCAAAGAAAACCATTTTTGCCATTTGGAGGTGGGAGTGGGCAAGGAAGAATCCACATAGTAGCTGTAGCTGGAAGTTGTTCAGGGAGGCCTAGGAGAGAGTGCTCTCTGCATTTTCTGACAGTCACTCCAGCTGGCTGCAGGACCCAGAGCTCCTCTAGGCAATTCGAGCAGGGACTGTCCCTGCAGAAAATACAACTCCCTAACCCTCGCTGACAGATTTTATGGCCAGATTAGTGAACAGTGGAAACTTGGGTGTTAAAAAAGGGCCAAGAGAGCCTCCTTTCCAGAGACAGCTCTTCCACCCCCCCCACCCCCGCAATTCTGCTAGGAATCATTATGGCACAGATATTTTACCCTTATCTTTAGCTGAGTGCGGGAAATCTTGAAGACAGAAGGAAAGGGAGCACCAAACTGGTCTGATTTTTCTTGTTTGGAGTCGGAGCCTCAAGCCAAAACTCCGCTTTTCATACTGTAGCTAAAATTTCTCTCTTGGCCTGCCTCCCTTGCTCTAGATAAATAAGCAACCTACCCCACCCCCAGAGCCAAACATGGCCCTTCATCTAGTTACATCATTCAGAAAATGTTATTCAGGTAAGAGGAGGAGAAAAAGAAAGACCTTTGAGCATTATTTGATCCCAATCAAACTTTGCATGCTGTTCTGCCTTTAAAAATGATAGCCTGGCCCAATGCTAAATTGCTTGCTGCCTGGGTGAGCTGAGTCCAGTTAAAATTCTACTTGGTTTGTGGGGCGGGGGGAGGAGGTGAGAATTCAGGTTGCTTTTTTATTGTTATTTATTGTTGCATAAGGACTGTAATTACTAACCTTGGACTGCCAGGATGCAACATAAAAATGAAAATCAGCCCTCGCTTTAAGGCTGAGGGTCTGGAACGATTCTCACCCTCCCCCCACCCCCACATACACCACTGCCGCCAAATATATGCTCCTAATTAAGCAGTGCGGGTGCATCGCTTACAATTAGAATCGTGCGACTCTTCTGCAAGCAGCCATCGCTTCTTTCAAAGAATTAGCTCCATATTTCAGCCGCCCATCTCCTCGTTCTTATCGGCTCCAGCGACTCAGAGGTGACATTTCATCTTTGACAGACCCTCTCTATCCCTCGTTCCAGTGTGATAAAACTCTTATGGAACCACGACTAAGAAATGAAGTTTTCCCAAGGATCGTGGAAATGGAGCTGCACATTAGCCTGGGACCATTTTATTTACACTTGCATCCAGCAGCTTCTACCACCCTCTTCTCCCCTCGGGCAGGGGAATAAGACTCGCCTCCTCTCTCTCTCTCTCTCTCTGCCTGAACTTTTATTTAATGATTTAATTTCACTTTAGTTTAAGGTTTGACCTGAGAAGTCTAGGCCTCAGATTTTTTTTTTTTTTTAGATTAATCATTTTCCTTTGTTTTCATTTTAGACCCAATGGTGGTTGGGCTTCGGGTCACGTGACGACTTCTTTGTCGCTCCGGAAGAGGACAGTGAAGTTTAGGTTGCATGGAAGAAGCAGTAATCTGCCAGATTTTTTGCTTGTTTTGTTTTGGGCTTTGTGTGTGGTGGAGTGGGTGTGAGGGGGCATGCACAGAGGTTGTGGCCAAAGGCAGGAGCAGACAAAAAGAAAAAGTCAATGAATGAGAAAAACCTAGAGGCGAGGCTAAACAGAAAGAATACAGAAAGCACCCAAAAGTTCCCTTTCTTCCCCCAACTTGTTACTGAAACCTTAAAGAAGTTGGCAGAATGTTCCAGGCTCCTATGAGTGAGGAAAAAGAATATTTAGCCTGGAAAAAAAGGGGTGGGCAGGAGAGACTGGGGCCTGAGCAGAGGACAAAAAGGCCAGGAAAGGGTCTTCCATGTCCTCCTTCCCTTGGGGGAAATTTGGCAGTCAGCAGGCTTGCTCTGCTATCTAAATTGGACCACCAGGACAAGATAAAATTGATAACAGAAAGTTTATTCAAGAATTGTTTGACAGACAACCCTTTTTAAGTAAGGGGGGAAAAAGTAACTACTGAAGAACAAAGAAATTTCCAAGAGGGAATTAATCTAACTCTACAAATTCAAGACTATACAGTGACGATTAGGAGCTGAGTTCATGCCTTTTAGAACTAATTACAATTGCTCATAAGTACGAGTTTAACAAAAATCTACAGCTCTTCTCTAGAGTACAATTAAAACTAAAATAGCTGATTTACATGACAAACACAATGTCCTTTATAACAAGTAAATACTAAAAAAGTACAATTTTTCCTTTTCCTCATATAAATACATAATGTAGGGGATAAATAATACAAAAAAGAAAATCTCTTAACAGGCTATAACCAATAAATATATATGAAAATGTTCACTAGAACACACGCTTTTTGAGCAATGCTGGACTTCTGCAGGCCCAGGCATCTCTCACAGTTGTTTTTATATCCATTAAAATGTAAACTCTAAGTGCAACAAAAGTGTCCTGTCAGGAGGTTGAGCAAGGCACACAGGCCCAGCTGCAGCCCCTGCCTGGGACAGTCAGTTTGTTCAAATATACCCTGTTTTCACGTTAAGTCAAGAGAGCAACAGAAGAAAAGAAAAGTGGAGAACCTCACGTGGTGGATTGCTTTCTGTGTGGAGAGAGGGGGATGGACCTGGAGCTGAGATGAGAGGCTGCAGAACAGGCAAACCTTCAGTCCTGACAACTGCCTGCCTTGGCCTCCTAACTTTTCCTTAAAAGAAAATATATATATATTTATACTATAGGCAGCTCTGACTTTCAGGATCTCTCACCATCCCTGAGCCCTCTGAAAACTATAATTGATGGGGGCGGGGTATAGATATGAATGTCTTAGAGCAGAAATGGAGGGCATGCCCTAAGAAACCTCAAGTAGATGGGAGCAAATTTGAGTCTCCAGGGAAGTGGGAGGGGAACGTGCTTTGTGCCCTTGGGTTTAAATGTGTTTTCTTATTTTCTTAAGGAGAATGAGAGGGGGGAAAATAATCAAGAATTGGGGGAGTTAACCACAGAGATGGAAGGTAAGTCAGTTGGTTGATGATGGCCTAGCCATCTTGTCTTTTTTTTTTCAATGTGCTTCTTTTCCTATCTCGGCTTCCTTTACCACTCCCCCCCTCCCTCTCCAGCGTGGAATTCCAGCTGGGTGGTGCTGGAGCCCCGGGATTGATGGAGGTCATGC